TCAGTGCATTACAATGGTTCAAAACAAATATTAACACTTCAAAACGTTGGTTTATTAACATTACATCAGTTAATGAAATACGGTATTTTATTGTGAATTTAAGTTAAGTCTGTAAAACCATAAAATGTTGCTACCATATTTTTTACGGTGAAGCTCTGGTAACCACAGCTGCCGGTATTTTACCGTAAATGTCACAGATTTGTTTTACAGTGTTCAGACGCAGAGCAATGACTGCGCTAATGCCAAATACGTATTCGTTACATTACATGCTAAATAATTTACAATGCTAGCTGTTAATTTTACCTGAAATAGATGACTTGGTCCGAAGGCATTTTCCCAATTACTTAATTTTTGAGTAATCAACTTTATGCAACAAATTATTAAATTCCTCTATGTCAAAGTTGTTTGTTGATCAAACATAATTTCATTCGAAGAAGTTATAACTCAAAAAGATCGATGCAAACTGTTGTGTATTTGTTTTTTTGTGTGTTGTTGTTGAGCCTAAAAATTAGTTTTTTAGAGTGACAGTTTTGTCTTTTTGACATCCCAGCTAACTCAAATATTCTCTAAGAACATTTTGCTAATGTTCCCATTGTGTCAGGAAAATTTAAATTCTCAGAACATTCAAAACATCCAGGTTTTTTTTTTTTTTATGTTTTAAAAATTTATTTTTGTTCTCCGATTTTTGAGTAATCAACTTTATGCAACAAATTATTAAGTTCCTCTATGTCAAAGTTGGTTGTTGATCAAACATAATTTCATTCGAAGAAGTTATAACTCAAAAAGATCGATGCAAACTGTTGTGTATTTGTTTATTTGTGTGTTGTTGTTGAGCCTAAAAATTAGTTTTTTCGAGTGACAGTTTTGTTTTTTTGACATCCCAGCTAACTCAAATATTCTCTAAGAACATTTTGCTAATGTTCCCATTGTGTCAGGAAAATTTAAATTCTCAGAACATTCAAAACATCCAGGTTTTTTTTTTTTTTATGTTTTAAAAATTTATTTTTGTTCTCCGAACCATCTTAGTAACATTAAAAAAAAACATTAGATGAATGGTCAACTAAAATGTTTCAGTAATTATCATCATCATAAATAATGTTTTGATAACATTATTAAAGACCAGAGAACTTCTGTTAACATTACTGATTACTTTGAGAGAACCTTGCCAGAATGTTCTGAGAACGTTCCCTGTTAGCTGGATGTCGTTTTAATTGTTTAATTGTTGCCGATCAGAGGCTGTGTTGTGATGTCTGGTGTCTTAGTGAACATATAACTGAAAAGGTTGAGTTAGTCGTGACCAAACACAGTTTAAACTGCAGTGGGTGTCAGTGTCTGTGTGAGTTCAGGCCAGAGTGATTGACCAAAAGAAGAAAGACTGACAGAGATAGTTCATCCAAACTCACCCTCAGTGCTCAGGACAGAAAGTCAGACAGGTTTGGAGTGGCACGAGGGTCAGTAGACGGCAGAACTGTCATGTTTGGGTGATCTGTCTCTTTCATGTGGTTGTGCTTTAGTGTGAGTGTTCAGCTGGTTATGCTGTGTTTGACTAGCATGTGGTTTGATGTGTTCTTGACTCTTGAAAGTTGCAGTATTCACTCTGTTTATGCAGTGTTTCTCGTTCTAGTCTCTGAGTTGTCTCCGTCATGGAGGCGACCGGGAAATATGACTTCACCGCCACAGCGGAGGATGAGCTGAGCTTCAGGAAGGGAGATATAATCAAGGTATGTTTCAACATTTACATCTGCAGCTCACTGCACGCGCTGTATATACAGTATCAGATATCCAACGATACACACATGCACTCAACTCATTCAGTTATTCTGACACGTTCAGTTACTTTAAACCAGAGTTTGTCCTTTCCTCAGCAGCTCTTTCAGTGAGTTTAATCATCACATGCTCCTCTGTAGATTTTAGGCACCAATGATGACTGGTTCAAAGCAGAAATAAACGGCATGGAGGGATTTGTTCCTCAGAATTACATCAACATCCACTTCCCAAGGTAACAGACGTCACATCTCACTGAACACCACTGTGGCAAGCCACTTTAACATTTAACCTATAAAATGTACTAGTTTCTATTGTTATGCTACTAGTACTTATTTTTAGCTATAGTGTCTATTCTATTAGGTACTGGTAATTATTCATTAGATACTAGTACTTATTAGTACTTATAATAGTATACACATTACTGACAAGACACGGGAAATATCATGGTCCGTATACTGCCAAATATGTACCAATTCGGATGTATGTTACTGAGGTATTCTTCTGTGCAACAACCATTTGTTGCCATGCAAGTAATCCCCTCAAAAAAAAAATTTCAGGAGGACATTCACACCTTTGTGTTAAACCGGATTGGTTGATTTGAAACTAAACCCACCCCTAAACCAGACAGCTATTGGGCCACTGAGCACACAGACTTTCCTCAAAAGTCATATCATTGGTAAACGTGTGGTAGATATATAATAGTATATCCCACCCAAAACCCTTACAGAAAAGTGACTTTATTGGTTACATTTAAAATATATCCCTCCCACAAACCCTACAGGTGAATAATGTGACTGATTGCACACCATGGGGCAAAAAAAAACACAGTTTAACCAACAACTGTTTGTTTATCTTTATTGTGGGAAAATAGTAAATAGCATCCGAAACATAAAAACAGTCAGAAAACAATTTCAACAGAAAACAACGTTTAAAAATACAACATCTACTTTGAATTAAAGATTTCTAACAAATGCAGTAAATCACACATGAAATGACTCCATTCCTCACTGTAGATCCTGTGACGAATTTGTACTTATTTTATGCTACTAGTACTTATTTTTAGCTATAGTGTGTATTCCATTAGGTACTGGTAATTATTCATTAGATACTAGTACTTATTAGTACTTATAATAGTATACCCATTACTGACAAGACACGGGAAATATCACGGTCCGTATACTGCCAAATATGTACCAATTCGGATGTATGTTACTGAAGTATTCTTCTGTGCAACAGCCATTTGTTGCAATGCAAGTAATCCCCTCAAAACATTTTTTTCAGGGGGACATTCACACCTTTGTGTTAAACCGGATTGGTTGATTTGAAACTAAACCCACCTCTAAACCTGACAGCTATTGGGCCACTGAGCACACAGACTTTCCTCAAAAGTCATATCATTGGTAAACGTGTGGTAGATATATAATAGTATATCCCACCCAAAACCCTTACAGAAAAGTGACTTTATTGGTTACATTTAAAATATATCCCTCCCACAAACCCTACAGGTGAATAATGTGACTGATTGCACACCATGGGGCAAAAAAAAACACAGTTTAACCAACAACTGTTTGTTTATCTTTATTGTGGGAAAATAGTAAATAGCATCCGAAACATAAAAACAGTCAGAAAACAATTTCAACAGAAAACAACGTTTAAAAATACAACATCTACTTTGAATTAAAGATTTCTAACAAATGCAGTAAATCACACATGAAATGACTCCATTCCTCACTGTAGATCCTGTGACGAATTCGTACGTATCTTACGAGGTGGCTAATTAGTCCGAAGGGCAAAAAAACATAGTTTAACCAACAACTGTTTGTTTATCTTTATTGTGGGAAAATAGTAAATAGCATCCGAAACATAAAAACAGTCAGAAAACAATTTCAACAGGAAACCGTTTAAAAATACAACATCTACTTTGAATTAAAGATTTCTAACAAATGCAGTAAATCACACATGAAATGACTCCATTCCTCACTGTAGATCCTGTGACGAATTTGTACTTATTTTATGAGGTGTCTAATTCGTACGAATTCTTACGACCTCACTCGTACGATTTGTCTAGACCCCAGTGACGGGTAGGTTTAGGGGCGGAGTTAGGTGTAGGTCATTCGTACAAATTCATACGAATTGTGCAAGTCGTAAAATACGTATGATTTAGCAAAAATCGTATGAATTTGTATGAGTGAGGTCGTACGAATTAGCCACCTTGTAAAATAAGTACGAACTGCCGTGAGATCGGGCTGGTTTGTCTCTGTTGACCAGCAACTGCAAAACAACAGTAATGTTGACAATGATCTCTACAGGCCTATATTTAAGAAGCTACATCACGTCTGTTGCTAAACTTACTGTTGTCTCTCTTTGGCTTTTTTGCCACAACTGTGATTGAGTGTTTCAGCTGGGCCTTTCCGGAGTGAAACTATGAAAACTTCTTCCTCATAGCCTCATCATAAGTCTGGCAGGATACCTAAAAAAACATAAAATATGTCTAGTGAAGGAAATATATTTAACTGGATAGGTGAAACAATACGAACATGGATAATAAAACATTGCAACAACCTTCTGAACTTATGTTACCATTTATAATCTCTGAAGATGAGTTGACCCAGTCTTGTGTGTAGGATACTGTAGAAAAGAGGAAACAGTATATGAGGAAAAAATACAGTGTAAATATAGTTTTGACGTTAAGTTAAAGATATTCATTTTACACAATATAAATAATCAGTCTTACCAGATTTGTGTATGATGTTGGAGTGGATTCTTCCCAGAATTGTGCCAGCTTACATATGTTTCAGTCTGTAGCTGTTGATGTCTTCAAGAAGTGTGTGTGTGTGTGTGTGTGTGTGTGTGTGTGTGTGTGTTTGTGGGAGGGGATAATTTATGAAAAGTTAGATATATGGGAGACCAGGGCTATTTGACACACTTTTTTGCATAAAATATTTATCAGGGGAGATATATTTTGAAAGTATTGTTTGTCTATATGTAGTTTATAATTACAATTATATAATTTTAACTAAACATAACTATTGGACAGTTCCACTGTTGCCCAGGAAAAGATACACATTATAACTCATAACACACACTGACTCTTTGGGGGGCATTAATCACTATTGGTAGAGATACTGCTAGAGAAACCACTTCTCAGTAGATACTAGTACACATTTATTAGAAACTAGTACTTATTCTGTAGATATTACACATTTATTAGCTACTAGTACTTATTAATTTGATACTAGTACACATTTATTAGCAAATAGTGCTTCAGAAGATACTAGTACACATTTATCTAATTCTTATGTAATAAACACTACTACTTATTTATTAGCTACTATTACTTATTCAGTATACTAATACACATTTATTAGCTACTAGTACTTATTCAATAGATATTAGTACACATTTATTAGATACTAGTACTTATTCCAAATCCATAGAAGTAAATGGTAAAAATGTTAAATGTGTTACTAGTAACAGTAGAATAGTTACAACTCACTACTGAAATAATTACTAGTATCTAATGAATAAGTACTATAGTATCTTCAGAAAGTCACCAGTTCCTAAATTATAAGCACTAGTACCTGAAGCATACGTACTAATAGCTAATGAATAAGTACTAGTAGCATTAAACTAGATGCTAGTACATTTTAAGGATTAAATGTTAAAACGGCTTGCCACACAGAGCAAGCGGAACAGTTGCAATATTCTGTTTGTGTAACACTAGATTGACCAATATACAAGAGATCACTGACACTCAGTTAGTTAGTGGTGTTTGCCTGGTCAGTCCTCGCTATCTCTAGTACTCAAAGTGATTTGAACAAACCCGAAACACTAGTATTACATTTAAGTGGAGGACTGGATATTGATGCAGATTCCCATTCAAAGCTTTTGGTTTGATATCGATTCATTTGTGCATTGTGATTCATAGATCTGTGTCTATTCCAGTAAACAGCTCTTCACAATCCAATCGACAGCCGGTGGATAAGAAGTCCCACCCTGTGGTTGTTTCTAGTTTTATGTGGTAGTAAAGAACCTTCCGTTGCATGCAGCTTTAGTAAAGCCACATATATAAACTAAACTGTCTGTGTGAACAGAGGCTCAGTCTTTCTGACTGTATAGAACTCACAATAATCTACAGAAACGTGACTTGCTGCATCATTATGAGTCAAAGAGTTACCGAAAAACATCTGGATTTCTAATTTCTTGGTCAAAATATAATACGTTTAATGGTTAAAAACCTGTTTAATCACTTTGAGATTGATTCAAACATATTTTACACCATTAAAACCATTGCATTGTAAATAAGAACAAATAAAAAATAAAACAGTGACATCTAGAGGAGAAGACTTGTAGGGACAGGATTTATAAATAAATACAAAAGATTAGTCTGTGGCTTTTGAGAATCAACTAAAAAAATAAATTAAATTAAATTAAATTAAATTAAATTAAATTAAAATTTTAATTTAATTTAATTTAATAATTAAATTAAATTAAATTAAATTAAATTAAATTAAATTAAATTAAATTAAATTAAATTAAATTAAATTAAATTAAATTAAATTAAATTAAATTAAATTAAATTAAATTAAATTAAATTAAATTAAATTAAATTAAATTAAATTAAATTAAATTAAATTAAATTAAATTAAATTAAATTAAATTAAATTAAATTAAATATTAGATACTAGTATTTATTCATTAGATACTAGTACTTATTTCAATAGATACTAGTACTTATTTCAATAGTGACTAGTAACTATTATATTGTTACTAGTAAAAAAAATTAAATTTTTACCATTGACTTCTATGGGGATCTGTCACTGAGATATCAACTATTCAGTTTTGACTAGTATGTATTCCAGTTGTGACTAGTACATAGTTTTTATGTACTAGTAGTTATTCATTAGGTACTAGTTTTTATTATTAGTATTATTTTTAGATACTAGTAGCTATTATTAGATAATTGTACTTAATCATTAGATACTAGTACTTATTATTATATTCTTGTACCCATTAAATAAATAGTATTATTTATTACATACTAGTATTTATTCATTAGATACTCGTACCTATTAAATAGATACTAGAACTTATTCTTTAGATATCAGTACTTATTGATTAGCTACTAGTATCTATTCAATAGATACTAGTACACATTTATTAGCTACTAGTACTTATTCATTTGATACTAGTACACATTTATTAGCAAATAGTGCTTCAGAAGATACTAGTACACATTTATCTAATTCTTATGTAATAAACACTACTACTTATTTATTAGCTACTATTACTTATTCAGTATACTAATACACATTTATTAGCTACTAGTACTTATTCAATAGATATTAGTACACATTTATTAGATACTAGTACTTATTCCAAATCCATAGAAGTAAATGGTAAAAATGTTAAATGTGTTACTAGTAACAGTAGAATAGTTACAACTCACTACTGAAATAATTACTAGTATCTAATGAATAAGTACTATAGTATCTTCAGAAAGTCACCAGTTCCTAAATTATAAGCACTAGTACCTGAAGCATATGTACTAATAGCTAATGAATAAGTACTAGTAGCATTAAACTAGATGCTAGTACATTTTAAGGATTAAATGTTAAAACGGCTTGCCACACAGAGCAAGCGGAACAGTTGCAATATTCTGTTTGTGTAACACTAGATTGACCAATATACAAGAGATCACTGACACTCAGTTAGTTAGTGGTGTTTGCCTGGTCAGTCCTCGCTATCTCTAGTACTCAAAGTGATTTGAACAAACCCGAAACACTAGTATTACATTTAAGTGGAGGACTGGATATTGATGCAGATTCCCATTCAAAGCTTTTGGTTTGATATCGATTCATTTGTGCATTGTGATTCATAGATCTGTGTCTATTCCAGTAAACAGCTCTTCACAATCCAATCGACAGCCGGTGGATAAGAAGTCCCACCCTGTGGTTGTTTCTAGTTTTATGTGGTAGTAAAGAACCTTCCGTTGCATGCAGCTTTAGTAAAGCCACATATATAAACTAAACTGTCTGTGTGAACAGAGGCTCAGTCTTTCTGACAGTATAGAACTCACAATAATCTACAGAAACGTGACTTGCTGCATCATTATGAGTCAAAGAGTTACCGAAAAACATCTGGATTTCTAATTTCTTGGTCAAAATATAATACGTTTAATGGTTAAAAACCTGTTTAATCACTTTGAGATTGATTCAAACATATTTTACACCATTAAAACCATTGCATTGTAAATAAGAACAAATAAAAAATAAAACAGTGACATCTAGAGGAGAAGACTTGTAGGGACAGGATTTATAAATAAATACAAAAGATTAGTCTGTGGCTTTTGAGAATCAACTAAAAAAATAAATTAAATTAAATTAAATTAAATTAAATTAAATTTTTAATTTAATTTAATTTAATTTAATTTAATTTAATTTAATTTAATTTAATTTAATTTAATTTAATTTAATTTAATTTAATTTAATTTAATTTAATTTAATTTAATTTAATTTAATTTAATTTAATTTAATTTAATTTAATTTAATTTAATTTAATTTAATTTTGGGGCTGGTGGACCACAAAATGCATTTATCATGACCAGTGGTTGACAGTGTTTCAGTTAGCGTGTTACTGTACTTTACTTGAGTTCGTTTTTAAGTGTTTGTACTTTAGGCAAACATCGTTCAGATTTTGTTGAGAAGACGTCATATTAAAGCAGTGTTTCTCCAGCTGGTATCAGGAGAACACCAGCCGTCATTCAGCACAGGAAGAACTGATGTGTCAACCAATCGGATCCTTCCTCATCCGAGGCTCCCAGAGTTCACCGGGAGAATTCTCCATTTCAGTCAGGTACAGCACACACACACACACACACACACACACACACACACACACTGCTTTCAATGTTTTACAATACATTCCATAGACGTAATGGTTTTTATATGGTTTTCATAACGGTGTTTCTGCCGTCAGACATGAGAACGACGTGCAGCACTTTAAGGTGATGAGAGACCGGCACGGTCAGTATTACCTGTGGAGCGAGACCTTCAGCTCCCTCAACAGACTGGTGGAGTTCTACACACACAACTCCATCTCCAAACAGAGCCGCGTCTACCTGCTCACAGAGCAGCGGGTGAGTCCAGCCACGCATGATAAACACACAGCAAACACTTGAAACACATTGCTCGCCTCACATTGTCTTCAGAACACACTCAGTGCTTGTGTTTCTTACTGTTTGGTCTCTTTCTCTCACCCAGAATCCACCTGATTTCCCGCACAGGAAGTCTGCTGAGCCGCCGCCCATCTCTCAGGTACAGCCGCTGTCACTCCTGTGACGTCAGTCAGTCATCTGATGAGCTTCTGTGTCAAATTATGCTTTCCTTCTGCAGGAGAGACACAGTTACAGAACACCAGCTCCAGCCTATCCTCGCCCAGCCGATCCCTTACCTCCATCCCCACCACAGGTCACACACACACACACACACACTCTCTCTCACACACACACACACACTCGCACACACTCGCACACACATGTCTGGTTTGCTATCCTTGTGGAGACTCTCCATAGGCGTAATGGTTTTTCTACTGTACAAACCGTATATTCTATTGCCCTACACCAACCCTACCCCTAAACCTACCCCTCACAGGAAACTTTGTGCATTTTTAGATTTTCAAAAAACTTCATTCTGTGTGATTTATAAGCTTGTTTCCTCACGAGGACCTAAAAATGTCCGGGTATTACTATCCTTGTGCGGACAATTGGTCCCCATAACATAGCGAATACCAGGTATACACACACACACATGTGACATCAGGTCATGTTATGCACATAATATGTACAAATAATGCATAAGCTTTAGAACGCTGAATGAGCCGGTTCTGTTTGTTTGTATGCGCAGGCGTCTGCGCTGCAGGTTCGAGCCATGTATGACTTCACTGCGCAGGACGCAGATGAGCTGAACTTTCACGCTGGAGATGTTATCGAGGTTTTAGATCAGTCTGATCGTTTCTGGTGGAAAGGTGTTCTGCGCGGGAGAACCGGACTCTTCCCCGTCAACTACACCAATCCTGTTTGAGGAGCCGTGACACAGACGTTTGCCTCAAAATCCATTTCACCTTGTGATGTTGCATAATAATGATTTATGAATACATTTATATTACAGGGTTTTTTTTCAACTGCTTACTCACGAAATCTTTCCTTGTCACACAATTTCTGAAAACTGACACTCAAACAGCAGAAGCACACACCAAATCTGCAAAACCATACTCTAATTCAGACTTTGACTCAATTTTAGGGTTAGGGTTAGGGTTAGGTGCAAATGTTTGCTTTTGAGATGTGTTTGTAATATTTTGAATGCAGTGCTTCATTTTTCAAGAGATTTGAGGCATTTTGCATTTTGTGTGTGTGATTCTTGGATTTGTGTGTAAAGTTTTGAAAAAAAAGAGGCAAAGCTTTGAAAATGTGTGTGTAAGCAGTTGAAAAAAACTAACATTTCTGAATTTAAGAAACACCTTTTCACCTTGTCATGTGTACAGAACACACACACACACACCTGTAAAGCATTGCTCTTCCTATTGGTACAGAGATTTGGAAAAATTGTGTGCTTAGTTTGAGCACTTTTACAAACAAGTTTATGAATCTTTCAGAATTGTTATGGTCCTCTGCGTTTGGACTGTATGAAATGTTCCTGAGATGTGATCTTCATCCAAGTATTAAATAAATACATCCATATATAATAACAGCACATACAACTGAGTCATGATGTTATTACAGTTAATGAATGGTTCGGTCACAATTTTGAAAAACATCAGAATTCTCTTTCTTAGAGCAAGTTTAATCAAAAAATATCTTGAAAATATTTCATAAAGTATCTGGCTGGTCTGTGTGGCTTACTTTTCACCATCAGTTCCGCTCTATCTAGTCAATTCTGAACCCCATCCTACTTTTTCCTCATTTCAGGTTTTTGGAGGCATTAAATAATTTGTGAATATTTGTAAACATTTGTGGCTTGAAACAGCTAGAAAATTGAAAATGTACTGCATTTCTATGGATGATTTGCCATTCAGATAGGGTTATTAAAGTTAACTAAAACTAGTAAAAACATTTCTGTTAATTGAAATAAAGCTGAAATAAAACAACATAGTCCTAAAAGCAATTCTATGAACGGAGAAAAATTGAATAAAATCACATATATAAAATTAACAAAGCACAATTTTTTTAGGGGTTCCAGCGCAAATAATTATTATTATTACTATTATTACTTTACATACTAAATGCATGTGTAAAACATTGTGTGATATATGAGGTGTAAAACACAACAGAGCCACCTAGTGCACATTTCTCACATACCTCTAGGGCCAAGTGTCTTTGACAACTTTTCTGCATAGGTTTGGTTCCAATTGGGTGAAAAAAAATGTTTTTATTATTGCATTTTATTTTGATTATTTCTTTTTTTTTTTTTTTTTGCAATTTTACATCAGGTATTTTTTTTTAACCATGCAGCCAACGTCAAGAGTAATATGTGTTAACATAGCACTTAGTGATTTACGGCGTTCAGAGGCAGGAGGAAAAATGCAAGAAACCAGCAAAATAATGTGAAGATTTATGTGGAAACGGAGCTATCACAAGCTCCGATTTTCCACTACACGTTTATTGTGGCCAAAAGAATTCATGATAATGATATGTCGGGATAATTATAAGAATCTTGAGGGATAGCATTATTTGTTTTTTCCCGTCACTACATAATACAGCATTACAGTAAAACAATATATGAGAATGAAAACATATTTATACTCCAAACTTGCATTATAGCATCAGTCGAGTGCATGAAATCACAGAGTTTCTTATCACAGAATGAGGCAGAAAATATATTATTTTACAGTATACAGTGGAGCTCTGTTTCTGAACTTGAGTCATTTTAAAAACTTTAAGTAAACAAACACTCACAATAGGACAATGTCTCCAGTTTCAGATCAGAGAGTACCTTCACTCCTGAATCTCTTAGTTTATTCTCAAGACAGATTCAGTTCTGTCAGGTGTGAGGGGTTTGATCTCAGAGCTGAAGCCAGAGCAGCACAACCTTCATCTGTGACGCCACAATAACTCAACCTGTAGAGAACTATGACACGGTTTGAATTGTAGTTGAAGTGTGTGTAGTTTGTTATTGTCTCTGGTCTCACAGCAGGAGAGGAGACAGCAGTTTAATGTTGGTCTGATCTGAATAAGTAAGGAAACAGGTGAAAGAATGACACTGATCCACAATTCAACTCGAATAGCCTATTAAAGAGCCTTCACTGGTTTCTAGAACTCACATATTTAATACTTAATTTCTATTTTAATAATTTTTATTTATATTTTATTACAGCTCCAACTGTCTAAACCACTTAGAATTAACCAGTGGTAAAAAAATGACTCAAATTCACCTATATGTTCACTTAACGTGAACTAACAAATATGTGAGCCTGGAGCACAAAAGCAGTCATAAGTCACATGGGTTTACTCCTAGCAATAGCCAACAATACATTGGGTCAAAATTAGCCTATCGATTTTTCTTTTATGCCAAAAATCATTAGGATATTAAGTAAAGATCATGTTCCATGAAGATATTTTGTAAAATCATGTTCCATGAAGATATTTTGTAAATTTCCTACCGTAAATATATCTAAACTTAATGTTTGATTAGTAATATGCATTGCTAAGAACTTCATTTGAACAACTTTAAAGATGATTTTCTCAATATTTAGATTTATATTTTTGCTCCCTCAGATTCCAGATTTTTTAATAGTTGTATCTCAGCCAAAAAATTGTCCTATCCTAACAAACCATACATCAATGGAAAGATTATTTATTATCTAAGCTATATATAAATCTCAATAAAAAAAAAAAAAAAAAAAAAAAAAGCCCCTTATGACTGGTTTTGTGGTCCAGGGTCACGTGTGATATATTTAGAAACATGAATGGGAAATTATAACAAGTCATAGACTATATAATGTGCACATTAGGACGTTCTAGTTGTTTTTTGGAATAAAGTTCAACCCTCCTGTTGGAGTCATGCAGAAACAAAGTTCCCCTTCCAACGCATTTCGTGTGAACTCCACCCACGCAGAAACACACCTGGCCGCGGGCTCGCGACGAGTGAAGCTCAGGTGAGGCATTCGGAGCGCGTGAGGCGAGGTAGCGGCGCGTCATGGCGGAGTCGCAGCTCTTGTGTATAGAGGACGGGCTCATGCCCCTCGCGGTGCCCGAGTCCCGGCCGCAGTTCTACTACAGCGAGCAGCACCGGGCGGCCCTGGAGCTCCTGATCACCGACGGAGACGGAGCCTTCAAGAGCCTCCTGAAGGACGAGAACAGCCAAGACTTCCTGTCGGCGCGGGAAATCAAGGCCATCACCGGCAGCTTCGTCAAATACAAGCCCGAGGAAGACGCTGGAGGAGCGTCAGCGGGTCAAGACAAGCGTGATGACGCCGGGTCGCTGCACTCCACGTACTGGCCGCAGATGTCGGACACCGAGGTTCCGCCGCTGGACATCGGCTGGCCCTCATCCGGGCTCTTTAAAGGGGTCACCCGGGTGTCGGTGCACACACACCCGCCCAAAGAGAACAGCCCGCACATCAAGGAGGTGGCCCGCAAACTCATACAGGAGTCCAGCAAGGTCAGTATTCACTATTAAATTAGGCACGTTTAGGTAGATTACTTTCGTTTTTAAGTTACTGTTACTGCGGGAAATGATAATAAATGAAGAAAAGGTGCCACGGTTTTATTACATTAGCCTATATTATATTTATCATTTAATTGTAGTGTACTAACATACACTGAAAAAAAATGATACTCAATTGTTAAGCTAAGTGGTTGCAAACAATTTGTTTTAGCTACATTTAAAAACAAATGTTGAAAGTTAGTCAACTAAATGTGTTTACTTAAATGTAGCTCAAATAAATTGATTGCAACCACTTACCTTAAAAATGTGGTAAATGCAATGAATAATTTTTTGTTTCAGTGTATGGTTACTGTGATAAACATTTATAGAGGGGAATCTTTTCCTTTATCATCGTAATGCTTCTTCAGTTTCATTTTCTCTTCTCTTGTGATCATTATCACATCATGACACGCCTTACATGTCAGGTATCTACAGATGTGCCTCGTGTGGTTACCATCTAAATTAACTGGTTTATAAAAATTAAAAAAATCCCTGAAATTTACAGTGAAACTGGCAGTAGCTGTGGTTGCCAGAACTTTACCATAAAAACTGGTAGCATTGGTAGAAAATGAGTCAAATTTCATTAACTGAAATAAGGTTACTGTACCAAATTACTGAAATCTGTTTTTATATTTACACTGTAAAAAAAAACTAAAATGTACTGGTTATTTTCTGCCAGGACATTTTACTGACATTTCTGTTAACCCTAGTTAACAACAGATGTAACATAAAACCCTCATGTGCACAACTAATCAGAACAAAACTAAGAATAAACAGTAATTTCAATGTAAAACCATCAACTGTGAGCCGTCACACAGGAACCTGGAAATGTCAGCTTACGCTTTTTATCTGTAAATTATTAAGATGACTTGTTTGTTTCCACATTTAAAAACGTTGTAAGTGTAAGACACGTCACATACATTCACAGGCACTGGGACGTGTTTATATAGGAGGATTCCTCTGGCCCAATGAGGATAGACTATAGCCTACAGGACCTGAGTGAGGCCCTCATGTCACAGATCTCTCTGTTTCTCATCTCCTGCAGTGCTGGATGCTTTAAGATCTTGTTCAGACTTGATCAGACGGTCTGTTTCTTCAGCCTCCAGTTCTTGAGGAATGACTGTAAATGATCTGACTCACTCGACATGTAGCAGGAAACTTTCCAAAACATCTGTCATGTGAAAGAAGCTGGAAGTGTGTGTAATAATGTGCTGAGCTGATCCTCGTTGTCTGTATGTAAAACCATCAACTGTGAGCCGTCACACAGGAACCTGGAAATGTCAGCTTACGCTTTTTATCTGTAAATTATTAAGATGACTTGTTTGTTTCCACATTTAAAAACGTTGTAAGTGTAAGACACGTCACATACATTCACAGGCACTGGGACGTGTTTATATAGGAGGATTCCTCTGGCCCAATGAGGATAGACTATAGCCTACAGGACCTGAGTGAGGCCCTCATGTCACAGATCTCTCTGTTTCTCATCTCCTGCAGTGC